TCCTGTACTAATCTCATCTTATAAAGACCCCACTTTTAATGGATTGAGGACTGCCCTAATGACCTCATCTTACCTTACTTACCTTTTTAAAGGCCCACCTCCAAATATGCTCACAATGGAAAGGTACTGGGACTTAGAACTTCAACAGATGCAGATTATGGGGGGCGGGGGAGACCCTAATTCAGTGCCCAACACTAGCTGACCACCTGGCACTGTGCTGGGCAGGCACGGTGGGGTAGTTAGGCACACCTGGGCGGCCTCCCAGCCCTGCTGCTGGTCCACATGAAGCCGGCAGCTTCCTCCACGATCATGCCTCGCTCACTGTGAAATAGGGGTCACACAATGGGGGACACGCCTTCCTCTCGGCTGGCTGTGTGAGTGAAATCAGGTCGAAGGCCTGAGGCTCGCCAGGGCATTGGACGTGTGGAAATTAATATCGTGAGGAGGTGTCATAGGGACAGAGAAGCATAAGAAGCCCTGGTCAGGGGCTTTCCTGGTCATGGCCTTCCCTGATGACCCAGAGTTGTCACCAGACGTGGAGGCACCCAGCGTGGGCCTCTCCAAGAGTGGTTACTCCCCTGACCGTGAGAGCAAATACGCATCCAGGAGAACCTTGATTTGGTGCCCCGCCACGTGGGAGTTCAGGAGAGAGGTGTTTGCTGGGGGCCCCGGGGAGGCCAGGGGTCCTCCGTATCTTGCGTGTCATTATTGATTGTTTATGTATATTTGGCATAATTGGGAATCTCTGATTTTCTGCAGCCTCATCGAGGGGAAAGGACTGGTTTCTCATTTGTCGCTCTAGTCACACCATTGCCCCTAGGAGCTTCCCAGTAAGGAACAGACCCCGGGGTGAGAGTGGAGAAGGGACCCAGAGAAGCTGGGGAGGGGACCCAGGGGTGTAGGTGGTCAAATGGCAGCAGGAGCCTGAGGAGAACAGAGCCCAGGGAGCCACACGGGGTGTCAGGGGCTCTGTCACCTTCCAGGCCCGGAAGGGTGGGGGTGCCAAGGGCAGCCAGTGGCTCCAGGGTGGGGCGCCCCTGCAGGAACCACAGGAGGCTTGTCCTCCAGAGTCAGGGCAGCGCCAGAGCCATTTGTTTTCTGACTTGGAGAAAAACAGTCCACAAGTGCCAACAATGATCTTTCAAACAAACGGAGAGCAATTTGTTATGGGCGGTGGGGAGCAATGAGTCCTCTGGCTTCTCTGTGATGACGGGAGAAAGCTGGGCTGTCACAGTAGGACATGACGAATGGCTTCCTGCTTGGAGCAGAATCTGGGGTGGGGGTGTCATCTTGCCCCGGACCCGGGGGGGGTCAAGTGGAGGGGGGACTACCTGGTCCCTAATCTCGCCAGTGGAACCTCTCTGAAGACCATTCCCATCTTCTGCAAACCGCACGCAACATCCTGCTTCTCAAGTTTTTTGACTTCTACATAGAGATCCAGAGGGAAAATGGTTAGAACTTAGGGCCAGAAGAAGATAGTCTCTCCTGATGAAAGGGTGCACATTCTTTGGTCACAAAACAGGAGTTGTTTAAGTGCTCATAATTTAAATTTTACTTTGCTTGCCCAAAAGTTACTTTGGTTGTCAAGTTTAGGTAGGTTAGGGATTATACACTCCAGGTTTCTGGTACAATTATTCTTCCTGTTGCAACTGTTTCCAAAAAAGAAAAAGAAAAAGAAAGAAAGAAAGAAAGAAAAGAAAGAAAGAAAGATAGAAAATTTAAATAAGAAAATTTTCACTAGTAAACACAATATCCAATTTCTTTTAGTTCCCTTTTGATCTTTAGCTACATGAATATAGCTTTTCTAGGGTTGTAATTGCAGGCTGGAGCCATACACTCACACTCAATTTTGTTTTGTTTTTTTTTTTTTGCTGCTTTTGTTTTGTTTTGTTTGTTATTTTTACATAATATTAGTTCACAAAGATCATATTTCCACTGGGGCATCCTATTCAGTCTTTTCCACAATGGTGCAATATTCTCCGGAACTACGGAATATTGGTAGAGTTGAATCTAATCCTATGCACCATAAATAGGCTATTGTCGGACATTGCATTTTTTTCTAGATCGCTCACTATAATAAACAATTGTGTTATTACAAAAACAAATGAGCAAAGGTTATGAAAGAAGTCACAAAGAAAAGAAATACAAATGGCTAATAAGCCCATGAAACATGTTCAAGCTCTGGGGTGATACATCAGGCGATGATTGATGATATATTGAAACAGCAAGACGCCCCGCGCTCTTGCCCGTGGACAGAGCCCAAATTAAACAAAGATGTTGCTCAGTGCTGGAGCTGTGGTGGAGAGACTCCGGGCTTGGCTGTGTCCCTCCCATTCACAGGGATGTGAATCGGTCCATGTCTGGGGGCAGCAATTGCTCTCCTAGGGCACCCTCTTCTAGGCTAGATGCTGAGCCTACAACATGCAGGTTTCTTTTTTTAAAAGATTTTATTTATTTATTCATGAGAGACACAGAGAGAGGCAGAGACACAGACAGAGGGAGAAGCAGGCTCCATGCAAGGAGCCCGATGTAGGACTTGATCCCAGGACCCCGGGATCACCGCCCAAGTGGAAGGCAGACGCTCAACTGCTGAGCCACCCAGGTGTCCCAAACACGGGGGTTTCACTCATTCATTAAACACTCCTCCCTGACCCCCCAATTTAAATGCCCTAAATGTCCAGTCCCCAGGGGAGTGGTGAAGCACTATTCAGGGGTCTGGTGAAGCACTATTCAGGGGAGTGGTGAAGCAAACATGTGTCCGGTGTTCACACTATTCACTCACTAGATGTGTAATAAAGGTTTCTTAATACGACAAGGAACTGTTTGTGCTATAGTGTTAGGTGACACACTGAACCTTGATGCAAGTTGCTCTCAGACCAGCCCAGGACTGGGACTCAGCCAGCCTGGTTTCAAGTCCTGGCACTGCCCATCACCTAGTTGTGAGCATTTGACTGGTGACCTCGCTTCTCCGAGCCTCGGTTTCCTCATCTGCAGAAGGTGAGCACTAAGGTCTCCTATGGCTGTCATGGTAACAAAACAACGTGTCGTGTGCACGGCACATGCTGCACCTTCTCTGAACTATAAACTCTCTCCGGGGTCCTCTTATCCTCCCATGCCTTAAAAAAGAACGAAAACAAAAACAGAAGCACAAATCTTCAATGTGTCTCCAGCTCAGAGTTCCCCACCCACTCCCGTCCAAGTGCCTGCGGGACCCTGCCACGCGCCTGTGCCTCGGACACTGCCCACCACTCAGTCCTGCCGAGTGGCCCAGGGCAGGGAACCCTGCTCATCTGTCAAAGGCCAATCCCAAGGCACCTCTTTTGGGAGGGGTCCTTAGCCTAGGAATTGGCAAGTGACCCCCTTTTGGGAGCATTCTTAGGCTCTCTGCAAACCTCCAACTTAGGTTGGAGGCATCAGTGAAGACGTGCATTTGCTGCCTTTTTGTTTTTTTATTTTTGACTCAAACATTCATTTAGGAAAGAGCACAGAGCCTGAGCAAACAGCTGGATAAACTGTCACATGGTGAACCCAACCTTGTAACCAACACCAGGATTTACAAAACAGATCCCAACCAGGCCCCCCAAAGGCCCCCTTGTGCTCCCCAAGGACCATCAGTCTCCTGACTTCTAAGCCGTTCTCGTCCTTCACATAGACGGAATCATGTAGAACGTTCTCTAGTGTGTGCCTCCATGGCTGCCCAGTGTCTGTCAGGCCCATTCTTGCTGCAAGAACCCCGCAGCACCCACTTCCCAGAGCTGTGTGGCCCTGGGAGGTGCCACTGCCCCAGGATGTTTTCATTCGAGGGCTGGGGATGTCTGGCAGTTCCTAATTAGAAGCTGTTCTGAATAGTGCTCGTGCTGTTATCAACACCCTACTACCTGACTTGCCGTGCACCCTTACACCTGTGTGCATTTTTGCTGGGTGTGAACGTGGGAGTGGGGTGGCCGGATCAGGGGGTCCATACATTCAACTGAGTGGTGTTCTCATGGCTTTCCTCTCATCGCTCCACACCTTCGCTTGCGCTAGTTTTTTTGTTTTCTTTTTTAACACAAATGCATTTATGGTCCTACCGGACTAATGCTCCTTGGGTCACCACTGCCTGGTTGCAGCCATGAATTCCACACAAAGAGGTCACTCCTGCAGGCCCAGCTCAAAGGCTGCTTCCTCTCCTTCCTCTCTGCAAGTCCAATCTCTTCCTCTGCGCTTGGGGGGTGGGGAGGGCTCCAGGGTTCAACGCGTTCCCCTGGGGTTGGGATGCTGCTGTGAGTTCCTCTGGCCCGACGGGCGGCCTCATGAGGGCAGAGCCAGGTGGCAGGACGGCAGGACGCAGCTGGGGCAGCCGGGGGCTCGCAGGCCGCGGGGGCATCCGTGAGCGCAGCGCGGCCCAGGGCGGGAAGCGACCCCTCGGGGGTGCGGGGCTTTGCTCGGGGAGCCCCCCTCCCCCTGCCTCCGAGGGACACCGTCCTGTGTCCCCCCCCAGAAGGCGCCTGACCCCTGGGGACCCCTCGCCACCTTGGTCCCCGACTCCCCCCACCGCCGCCCTTTCCGCGGAGCGGGGAGGAGCTAACCTTTGGTACCCAGCGCGCCCCTGGGCCGGCGGGTGGGGAAGGGATCGGGTTTCACCGGCGCCTGGGGGGGGGGGGAGGGGAGGGGGAGGGGGAGGACGGCCGGGATGGGGTGCCCCCCTCCTCGGCTCCCACCGGGGAGAGGTTTGGGGGTCCCCGCTCCCGCCCCCGGCCGCGGCCCCGCGCGCCCCTCGGGGTCCAGGGTGGCCGGGGTGGCGGGGCCCGCGGGGGGGGCGGGCGGGGAGGAGGGGAGAGGGAGGGGGAGGGAGGGGGAGGGGGGGAGGGCGGGCACCGGGCGCCCCGCGGCCCCGCCCCCGCCGCGCCCTCCTCGGGGCGGGATAATTGAACGGCGCGGCCGGGGCGCAGCGTTGGCTGCGGAGGCCCGGCCGGAGCGGAGCGTGGAAGCCAGCAGCCCGCCCCGCGCCCCGCGCCCCGCGCCCCGCGCCCCGCCTTTGTCCGCCGCCGCCCGCCGCCCGCCGCCCGCCGCCCGCCGGCCCCATGGAGCGCGCCGCGCCGAGGACCGTCCCGCTGCCGCTGCTGCTGCTGCTCGGCGGCCTCTCGCTGCTGGCGGCCCGAGGTAGGGGCGCCCCAGCCCGCGGCCCCGCTGTCCCGCGAGCCCCAGCCCCGAGCCCCGGAGCGGTGGGAGTGTTGGGCCGGCGCCCTCCCCGCGCCCCACCCCGGGCTCTGGTCCCAATCGCCGTGACCTGGGCCACTTGTTTTAAAGAAGCCGTTTCCTCCTCCCGGACGCATCCTCCGCCTCCTGCACCCCCCCCCCCCCGCCGAGTGCCCACCCATTGTCCCACCGGGGCGACCTTGGGAGGTTAGGGAGAAGCCCTAGCTGGTGGTTGTGAGCCCCTGGGTGCCCTGCTCTGCTCGGCCGCCCCCACCTCCACCTCTCCGTAGGGGCTGTTGTACCCAGCTCATTGGTGAGAAAACTGAGACCCGGGACAGTAGTTTGTCCAGGGGACAAAGCCAGTCATGGGTTAGGGGGTGGGCTTGAAAAATCAGAAAGGAAGAGCGCAGTCTGCAGATTTTTACGGTGATGGCCAGTGTGGGGAAACCTCTGCCTGCCCTCCTGGGACATAGAGGGCCTCAAGACGGGGGCTGGGCAAGGCTACACACAGTTGGGGCTGGGGACAGGCCACTGCCAGACCCACCCACCCAGGGCAAGGGGCCAGAGTGCTGCGCCCAGGACTGGCAGCGTGGGGATGGCCCTTGGCCCTTCTTTCCCCCTTTATCCTCAAGGCCCAGCTCCTGGGGGTGGGGGTGGGGTGGCCACTGGGCCCTGTGGATTAGAGCCACAGTGGGTGAGCCGGAGCCATGGCCTCTGACCTCTCTGCTGACCTGTGACTCATCACTCATTAGTCAGGCCTCCCTGCCTGGAGGCTTTGTTCTTCCTGGGGCCAGGCCCAGACAAGAGCCCTGACCACCTTCACAATCCCAGATGTTTTATCTCGTGCTTAGTTTTGTTTCTTTGCAAGTCTCCTGTGACCACCCTCCTGCTTGGTCAGAAGGTCACCAGGGAGAGGTTGGGGGCAGAGGGCCGAGCTCTGCTGGGGTTTCTTGGCTTGCTCACTGCTTGCAGTAGGTCCAGGAGCTCTGGGGAGGGGGAGGGGGGCATCTCATGGGGGACATGGCATGGGAGGCACAGGGCTCCAGCTTGGCAGAGAGAGCCATTCTGCCCCCCCCCCCCCCCCACACACACACTCTGGGCTCACAGGAGGCTTGTTGAAAGAGATGGTGCCTGAGCAGGAGCTAGTCAGGCAGGCAGAGGGAGGAGGGGCATTTATCACAGTGGCTGGAGTGAAAGCCCCAGGGGGGCTCCCTTTGGAGGCCACACAAGACTCTTGTTGGAAGTAGAAAGGGCCCCAGGGCCCCTGTATTTTACAGACGGGTAACTGAGGCAGGCCCAGCGAGAAGGCATGGTAGAGAGAACTCTCTCAAGCCTGAGTGCCCCCATCCCCCACCACGGTGCTGTCCTGCCCACTGTGTGAGCAAGTTCCTCTGTGGCCTGGCGGGGGCCTGGCGGGGTCTGCCTCAGAAGGACTCAGGCTGGAGGGGCTCCCATCTTCTTTATCCAGAAGACCCCTGACTTCAGGCCTCTGTGCTAAAGGAGACCTGCTAAGTGCACACCCGGGCTGGCGTGGCCTTCTGTTTCTTTTGGGGTGGCCCCCTCTTTTGAGTTTGGCATGGTCTGGGGAGAGGGAGCTGGAGCTCGTGGGTCTGTGTCTGGAAGTCTGGAAGCTGTCAGGTTCCAAGCGGTGACACAGTCCCACCCCCCCCCCAAGGGCCATGGGGGGCATGAGGAAATGTCATTGGAACCGATCACGGGGAAAGACCATCCTGTGGGGAGCCCTGTAGCTGAACCTCCCTTGGCCTGGCCCCCACGATGCAACAGGGCACTGGTCTTCCGTGCCAAGGGACAGTGCCGAGCCACCGCCTGTCCCGTGTCTGTCTGTCCTGTTGGACTTTGCCAATGGTGGGGTGGGAGGGAGTGGAGAGGAGGAGGGCATTTGGGAGAGACAGCCGCGCTTTCTCCAAGACTTTCTTGGCCTCTGGCTGCAGCGGGCAGCGTTTCCGACTGATTACAGAGCAAGGCGCTGGGAGGGAGAACAAAGACGGGAGAGGGCTTGGCTTGGAAGCACATGGCCTGCGCCGCTGCTGGAACTTTCCCAGGCTGGTGGTGGGGGCCGGACAGGCTGGAGTGGGGGTGCTGCTGGAGTGCTGAATGCGTAGAGATGAGACTCGGGGTCCCCCAGGGTGGGGGGCAGCCCTGCAGCCTCTCGTGTGGGGGTGTCCAGGTGACACCTTCTCCTGGCACTGCCTGGGACCCCCCCGCCCCCCCAGTGCAGGACTCTGTTTGCCACCCCTTCTAGACAGTGGTGTGCGGGACCAGGGGGGATGCAAAAGCCTGGCTCCCTCATCTTGGGGTCCCAGCGGGCCGGCACGAGCTTCTGTGGGACGGGAAACAACTTTGCCTGTATCCGGTGGTTTTCTCATTTGTAAAATGAAGATAACAGAAACCTTCTTCGTGGTCTGCCCTGGGGACTGAGGGAGAGACGGGGGGGGGGGGGGGCCCTGCTCGCCAAGGCAGCCAGATTAGTATCACCTGGTATTTGCGTGGCCCCCTTCCTGGGTAAGACAGGGTCCTTTCCCCCCAGAGAACTCTGAAAGTCCTACTGAATTCCCCGGGACGGCTCGGATCCAGCAGCCGTCGAGAGCCAGAGCCAGAGCTGTGCTGGGGAAGGGGACGCGGGTGGCCTGGGCCAGCCTCCTCCGGCATCCGTGCGCTGGGTATCTGCTCTGTGCCGGATGCTGTTCTAGATCGTGGGGAGATGGCCAGGAAGAGTTGAGGCCTGGACCTTCTGCTCGAGGGGCTCCCACCCCACTGGAGGGCCAAGAGTCAACAGGTCATTAGGAACCAACCCCATAGCCCGAGAGTCAGGGAAGAGTGAGGGAAGATCTCCCAAAGGACACAGCCTGCAACTGGTAGGTGTAGGAGGAGCTGACTGGGTTTCTGGGGAGCAGGGCCAGGAGGATGGTGCTCCGGGCGGAGGGAAGCACACGGGTAAACACCCAGAAGGCGACAGGGCACATGGACACATGTCCTCTTCCCTCCGTTTCCTTTGAAGGCAGGACTCTGAGCAGCGCGCACAGTGGGTGGCACAGCCTTGCGGATAAAGTCACACGAAAACAGGCCCACTAGTATCCCAGCCATCTCGCCAGTGTGTTTGATACAAGGAAAGCCTCGCCTTTGCAGCACATCACATTATAACAATTTGATTAATAAAAGCTTTTGCAGACTCCAGTGTCCTTGTAAGGACCTCAGATGTGGCCACCTAACCAAACGGGGACACCCATGATGTCAACTTTCCTGGGATCGGAGACCCTTCAGCCTGGAGGGAGCTTGGCGATGAGAGGGTGTGGCGGGGAGGCTGGTGAGGTCATTGGCCCAAAGTCACAGCGGGCTGGGCGCTGTAGACTGGCCCTCATCCTCCTGGGCCACCTCCCTTAGCCCTCGGGCTGGTCCTCACGAGGCTCTGGGTCCGGATGGAGTCAGGTGCCTGTTGTTCCAGCTGCCTGCGTGTTATCAAGAGGTGGGGGTGGGCCCTCAAAGGAGGAGAGGAGACTGGTCCCAATTCCGAATGTGACCGATCCCATGCTCTCTTCTTCTGTTTCCTGAAGTATGGAGTGAGAACACACCCTGCTCTAGGAAATTATTATAATTGACCTATTTTTACATTAGTCTCTAATTTAGTCCTCTCAACAATCCTATGAGGAAGGTGCTGTCCTTATTTTCATTTTAGGGACATATAAACAAAGGCCCAGGGCAGTTAAGTAGCTTGCCTGGGAAACCCAGTGGTGAATGGAGGGCCGGGATGCAGGACCCCACGCTCCTGACTGCTCGGCCGGCCGTCTTGCCTTAAACCTAATGGTGGGGGGTGGGGACAAAGCGGGTGGGACAGCACTTGAATCCCATACACAAGTGCATGCGTGACAGGGTCCTGAGGAAGAACAGGTGTTTCCCATACATGGGAACCATAGAACCCTTGCGGAGCTCGTGGCTGGCTTGGTGTAGGACATGATCCCCGAGGTGACGGCACCTGTCTTATTTCAAATTAGTGTACAAGCCTATCCTGCCTGTCCTGTCCTGGGAAGCCAGTGGCCGTGGTGGTGGAGGGCTGTTTGCTCCAGCACCCAGCCCAGGGTCTGGCCATAGACCTGCCTCTCCCTTGGATGTGGCCCAAGTCAGGCCCTTCTTGCTGCCATCTCAGGGTGGGCTCAGGAGCCCCGCAAAGAACCTATGTTGGCCATACTCCCCCTGCTTCAGGGGGAGGCAGTGCACGCAGGGATGGATGCCTCTGGCCACAGGACGCTGGGTGAGGTCTTGAACTGTCCACAGGGTAGAAAGTCGCCCCTTTCCTGGCATCTTTATAAAGGAAAATATTCTTGGCTGGTCCTGGGTTCCAGACACAACAGGGCGGGCCCGACATCTGGAGAGGACGGCCCTGGAAATTGTTTAGGTCATTTTCCTGCTTAATCTGGCCCCAGGCTTGCCAAGCGATCCAGCCAGAGGGCTCTGCTGACATGGCCAGAGCCGGGAGTGGGGACGCTGGACTCCCACCCACCCTCACCCTGTTGCTGACTCTGGGGGGACCCACCTGCCAAGGGCCCGGGTTACTGCTCCTGAGAGCCAGGGGCCGAGCCTTCTTTTCTCCACATGGCGGGTCTGTGATGTGTATAGTTCCCTGCACTGCCAGCCTCGGGCCACTCAGGGGGGACACCACGCAGCTGGCAGTCTGGGCCCTTCAGGGGGTCCAGAGAACCAGCCTTGGGGGCTGATGGGAGCCCGGGATGGGCTTTATGGTGAGCATTTGAGGAGAATGTGGGAAGAACAGTTTGCCTATCAGGACATGGAAGCCACGGGTCAGCTGGTCCACTCCTTGTATAGGTGAGGGAACAGGCCTAGGAGGAGAAGGGAGGTGATAAATGGTGTCATGAATCCGCTCAGTTCTTGTCAGCAGATGTTTCCCGAGTGTCCCTCATGAGCCTGGCCTGGCCCTTGAGGAGCTCTTC